CAACACTGCAGGGGTACATCGCCTTGCACTAAACTTGTACACACGGTGATTTGCTGAGGTACGCAATCAGCTCCGAGTGATTTGCGACAATCGAGTGGATGATGATGCCGAGCCAGACTTACCGGAGTCCGAAGGCTTCATTAAGTTCGAGACCTTTATGGACATCATCTCACCAGCCTTCCCCGACAAGTGTTCAAAGCAGGACCGTATGGCCTGCCTCAAACGGGCGCATTGGATCGTAAACATGAAGAAGGCTCTCTATCTTCGACCTGCCGGTACCAAGACAGTTCCTGTCAAGCGCATCCCCTACTTGCACGGCCAGACTGACTTCTTGAACCAAGAGGGCAAGGATATCTTACAGGCCATGCGCGATGGCATTGAGACACCACCAAAGAATTGGGTCCAAAAGAGACAATGGACTCACGATGTCCTGAGCATGATCATCGAGAAGAAAGAGCGACCACGTCGCACTGCCACGATTTTGATTCCCGGGTCAGGCGGTAACGGTCCCACTTCTCGTGACTCAAAGCCACAAGTTCCATTCTCAGGCCGCATTTGTCCAGACTTCTTGCCGACCGGGGACACCGCCGCTTCTATGGAGGACAGGTGCGAGGCTTCCTCTTCTTTGCCAACCGCCGCTAACGTTGCCTTAAAGACCGAGGTTGAAGAGAAAGCTTTCTTCCCGCTCATGGTGGCGTCCCACGCAGATGACGTCATTGACTTGGCCACGCCAACACCTCCTCGCTGTAAGCGTCCTCGGCTAGATGATGCCTTTCCCGACGTGGGCGAGGATCCTGAGAACTGAGGTGCCTCCTTCTGCGAATGAAGTCGCGTCGGAAGAACCTAGGTGCTTGAATGTAGCTACAACATCGGTTGACTCTGTAGAAAGGTACACTGCGCAGAGAATGTTGGCCTCTGACAAGGCACTCAAGTTTTGTAGTTTGAGTGCCCACTGCCACTTGGATAGAGTGTCACATGACATGCCCATTGCCGCCAACTTGGAAAATGGAGCCACTACGATTTGCTGCAAGTGATGTTGATTGATTGCTTTGCAACTGGTGTCCACCAAGCATTGACTTGTTTCTTGGCAAGTTACGGGGCTTATCACTAGCAGGTCCACTGCACGACAGCAAGCAGACTGTCACTGTTTCAATGCCATGTGACAAACAGCAGCGAACACATTTCAGCGTTCTTGGACCTGGTACATGTACTACCTAACGTGGCCTGTGCAACAATGACTAGACGTGCGCGGGAAGATGGCCTTCATGCTCTGGAGCTACCCTCCTGCTCCTTCAAAGAAATGGCTCAAGGACGTCGACGAGCACTGCTTTGAGAGCGATGTAGCCTTCCAAAAATATCTCATTCACCGTCGTGTTCTCGACGAAAACGGTGCGAATGTTTCCTTGTCACTGAGGGCAATCGGCATCTTCTTGAAGTACGGGGCTGCTCTACAGATAAAGAGATGCACGAAATGTGGGAAGCCCGCTCGCTTCGAGCAGCGAACCTCGAGGGGATGGACGACTTTTGGATGGACATGCAGTGCTGTTGGACACAAGCACATGCAACTACAACTCAACCAGTACGGCTTCCTCACTGAAATACCGGTGAATAGCTGGTTCCCGTTTCTCCATCTCATCAACATGTTGCGTCTTTCTATGAACTGGTCCACCATCATCCAGGAGTTGCAGGCGGGCTATGGCAACATCGCCAAAAAGACGATTGCGAAATGGCGTGACGTCTTCCAGAGGGCTATCGGTGCTGCTCTGGACAAAATGGACTGCAGGGTCGTCGGTGGCAAGAAGGAGACGGTCGTCATGGACGAAGCCATCGTCGGAGTCCATCCTGAAGATGGTTGGTCAGTTGGTTCGAGGGGGATCAACAAAGCTGGTGCAGAGCAGACTAGGACAACGGCGCGCCTGGAACGGAAAAAACTGGTTTCCAAGGGTGCCATGAAAAGGCTGCCAGCTCGAACACTTCATGGGTCAGAGAAGGCTTCACGCACCGGGCCACAGCTCCTGAAGAAGCCGGCTTCAACACACATGAAGCGGCCATGTGGTGTGATGAAAACGATCCTGAAGAAGCCTGCTGCCGTTCGACCACCAGCCAAACGACTCAAGAAGACTGCCGCAAACCTCAAGACAAACGGTGCCTGGCTATGGCTTGCTGTCGCTGTGGGCAAGAACAAGGAGATCTACACCCATGACAACGGCAAGAAACGCATCACTTATCGTCTTCTGCCTTCTCGCAAGAAAGCCATAAAGAACAAACCTCGCGGCTTTGAAGAAATCCAAAACACGGTTGAAAAGCACGTCGCGAAAGGCTCGTACTTGGTGTTTGACGGTTGGACTGCTACCAAAAAGGCTGTGGAAGCACTAGGCTATGATTACGCACCTCCTGTGAAACATGAAAAGTGTTTTCGTGATCCTGCTACGGGGTTCCACACGAATGATGCAGAGTCTGAAAACGGCAGGCTCAAAAAGTGGTCAAGGCGCCGCTATGGAAAGCTTTCTTTGGACATACTCGAAATGGATGAGTATGTCTTTTATGTCACTGTCGGAACTGACATGTCTTCAATCCTGAAAGGACTGGCACGAGCCAACGGGGTCATTTGCAGGAACGACCTGCTTGAAATCTAGTAGGGGCACGTCGAAGCTTGAAATCAGATGGGGAAAGCGCTGTGCTGCATTGCACTGCTCTGCTGGCTACCACAAGTAAACAAGTTAGAGAAACGATGCTCGTGTGTTGCTGCTGAAACATCTGAGGTGCCTACATTGGCTTGGTTGTCTACGAGCATCTGGGTATGGGGCATGACTAGGGTCAGTACATCATTCGCACTGTATTGTATTGGGCGCAATACCGAAGATGCTGAAATGTAGGGGTGGGGGAATGACCACGCGCCCATATATATATATATATACACACACACACACACACTTCTTTGTTTCTCTATACAAAGTTTATATATCAATCTATCGATCTGTTAAGTTACCAATATCTATCTCTCCATCTATACACCCACCCCTCCACCCGTGCCCTCGCCATCGATCGCCCGGCAGCAGCATCAGCATAATTCGTAGCACTTGACTGGAGCCCAAAGTTTTCAAGTTCGAAATTTACTAATGTTTTGTCTTCGCTTGAAATTGAAAAATGCTGATGAATACACAGACTTTTCGACACCGATTTGTGGAAAACATCTATTGAAGTCATTGTAGATCCATCAAAAGCCAAATACCCCATCAGAAGCATTGGGTGCAATGCAGCATCAGCATGCTTTCGAACACACCGTGCCATGGCATTCATTGCACGGATAACCGCACGAAAAGCCCTTAATTAAGGGGTGTGAAAAAGGACCTTGATTAAGGTAAAAGCGCTTAAATCAACTTAACCGATCATCGCTTAAATGACGTTTAAGCGGCTTTGGAGTCTCTGGGCAGGTGCCACGGGGGCACTAGCGAGCCCGAATCCTCACTGGAGCGGAGCCCGTAGCAGCAGTCTCCGAGGAGGTACTCCTTGTAGCGCTCAAAGAGAGCCATGGTGATGTCCTGTAGCTCCTCTCTGCCGGGGTGCCTTAGCAGCTGGATCATAATTAGCGCATTCTGCAGAACGGTTAGCCGCAGCCGCAGCTGCCGCCCGGAGCGGGCATAGCTGCTTTTGCCACCCCTTTCTTCATGGATAACGTGCCATTGGCGTTCCAATGCGGCATTAATCCGAGCATCTGAATAAAAATATCCCTTACTTTTAAAGAAAATTTTTCGGCTCCGGAGTGGCTCCGAAGAGGCGTTTCCATTACGTGAGGATTTCGTTTGGGGGAAATGCCCCACATTTAGAGAAAATTTTTCGGGCCCTAAATGTTGCTAGGGTGCAAAGCACTGCAGTGGCTCTTCATTTCTGCAACTGGAGCTGCTCGCCGATCTCCAGTCTGCTGGCGCAGAAGGCTCGAAACTGCACTGCTGTCAAACAAATCTGCATCTGGATCTGCTTCGAGATCTGCTTGCAAGCAGAGCTGCCTCAGGGATCTGCAGCCTGCACGGGCTTCGAAAGTGTAAAAACTGCACTTGGAAGCCCCTAAACTGCAGCGCAGACCTACAGAAAGCAGCACCACAGGCCCTGCGAAAGCTCCAAAACTGCAGTGTGCACCTGCGATTCCGGTGCCTCTGCAGCCTTCTGCACATCTGGATCTGCCTGCAAGAAGAGCTGAGAAACTGCACTTCACAGGCCCTAAACTGCAGCGCAGACCTACATAAAGCAGCACTACAGGCCCTGCGAAAGCTCCAAAACTGCAGTGTGCACCTGCGATTCCGGTGCCTCTGCAGCCTTCTGCACATCTGGATCTGCTTGCAACTGCACTTCAAAGGCCCTAAACTGCAGTGTAGACCTACGGAAAGCAGCACTACAGGCCCTGCGAAAGCTCCAAAACTGCAGTGTGCACCTGCGATTCCGGTGCCTCTGCAGCCTTCTGCACATCTGGATCTGCCTGCAAGAAGAGCGGAGAAACTGCACTTCAAAGGCCGTAAACTGCAGTGCAGACCTACAGGAAGCAGCACTACAGGCCCTGCGAAAGCTCCAAAACTGCAGTGTGCACCTGCGATTCCGGTGCTTCTGCAGCCTTCTGCACATCTGGATCTGCCTGCAAGAAGAGCGGAGAAACTGCACTTCAAAGGCCGTAAACTGCAGTGCAGACCTACAGAAAGCAGCACTACAGGCCCTGCGAAAGCTCCAAAACTGCAGTGTGCACCTGCGATTCCCGCCTTTGCAGCCTTCTGCACATCTGGATCTGCCTGCAAGAAGAGCGGAGAAACTGCACTTCAAAGGCCCTAAACTGCAGTGCAGACCTACAGAAAGCAGCACTACAGGCCCTGCGAAAGCTCCAAAACTGCAGTGTGCACCTGCGATTCCGGTGCCTCTGCAGCCTTCTGCACATCTGGATCTGCCTGCAAGAAGAGCGGAGAAACTGCACTTCAAAGGCCCTAAACTGCAGTGCAGACCTACAGAAAGCAGCACTACAGGCCCTGCGAAAGCTCCAAAACTGCAGTGTGCACCTGCGATTCCGGCGCCTTTGCAGCCTTCGTCGGATATTCTGCAAGCTGGGCTTCCCGCTGCAGTTTGCTCTTCTTAAACAAGGCTGCACCACTGGCTCCATAGAGGTGATCTACATTGAAGCCCTCTTTCTGCAACCAGTAACGGGTTGCTTTCCATCGGCTGCAGGACAAGCATCCATCTCCTTCCCTGCATCTGCTGCAGGTGCCTCCAGTGAAGCCCTCCATCACCTTCAACACCTCTGCCTGAGCCTGCACACTCAAGTTCTCGTAGCAGGGCTTGCCTGCAGGATCCTTCAGCAGGTCTGCAAGAGCCTTCTTCGAAAGGCTCTTCATGTCCTCTTCATCCTTCTTCTTGCTGGCTGCAGCAGCTTTCTTCTGCTTGACTTCAAGGAGTGCCTGTTTCTCTGCAGCCTTCACCTTCGTGTCCATGATCTTGCCCTGCTCCTTCTTCAGTGCTTTGCACACACTCTGCAGCCTTGCAGCCCAGGCCCCTGCTAAGGGCCACTGCATGCTATTAGAGTCCCCAAGGGCCTGCCTGCATGTCGTCTCCATCCACTGCAAGCAGTCTTGCTGCATTGCATCTTGCTGGAAGCGGCATCTGCAGAAAATGGTGCAGAAAGAACTCTGCAACACGTCTGTTTGGTGTAGCCTCCTGCTGCAGTGAGTCGTAGTATCTCACCTGCAGGGCCCCATATCTGCAGAAATCGGGCATGGTCCAGTGCCTCCCTGCCTACACCGGCACAAAGAGCAAGTCTTTCTGCAGCTCTTGCTGTCTTTCTGCAGCGCTTGCTCCAAGAAGGCCGTCCTCTGCTCCTGCAGCTGGCAAACAGACAGCAGCCACTCTGCATCTCCCAAGCCCTCCAGCTCGGTTGTAGGGTCTGCAAGGGCTGTGAAAGCCTGCACAACATCTGGACGGATGCACGTGATCTCTGCTTTCTGCAGCCCTGGCAGGTTCTATCGTAGGTACTGCCAGCCTACACTTATGTGCTGGTCCAGAAGCCAACTACCATCTGCAAGCGGCATGAGCAGGTCATCTCCAAGATCATCTCCAAGAGTCTTCAAAGCCGCTTCACGAAGCCACTTCTGCATTGCACGCGTGGAACTCTGCAAAGTCTTCATCTTCAGAGCACCCAGAAGGCTCGGCACCTGCAGGAACTCTCTCCTCAAGGTGTGCACTCCAGGCTGCAAGTCGACATACAGTGTCTCTGCACCGCTGTTCCAAACCTGCTTGGACACTACACCCATCCTGCCGTAGTAGGGCTTGCCTGCAAGCTCGGAACAAACCTGCACTCGCTGCTTCTCCTCTCCTGCTGCTGGGGCTGCTGCTGGGGCTGGAGCGGGGGCTGAGCCTGCAACTTTTGTTCCTGGAACTGCCTCCAACTGCTTCAGAGCCTTCTTCAAAGCCTTCTTTTTCTTCTCCTTCTGCAAGGATTTCTCGGAAGCCTTCTTCTGCAACTTGCCCTTGCCTCCTGCATGCTTCTTGCTGCTCTTGTGCTCAGCATCGCCTGCACTCTCCTGCTCTGCAGTCTCAGGGGCTGCAGGCTTCTTCGATGCAGCCTTGGCCGCTGCAGGCTTCTTCGCTGCCGCCTTCTCGGCTGCAGCCTTCTTCGCTGCAGCCTTGGCCTCTGGCTTGCCAGGCTTCAGCAGACCTGAAAGCGAGAGCTTCATCTTCGTTGCAAAGCTGCCAAGCTTCGACCCACCTGCACTTGGCACCATACCCTTCAGGATCTCGCTTCTGTTGTGCTTCTTGAGGAATTCCTGCAGATCCTGCTTTCCTTGCTTCAAAATCGCTGTTCTTCCTCTTCCTCGCTGCAGCCTGCTCTTGCTGCTCGTCGCCTGCAGTTGCGCCCACAGCTGCTCGCTTCAACCTCCTCTGCACCTTTGTGTCCAGACTCTCAAAGTAGGGCAGAGCCTGCAGCAGGACCTCATCTTCAAGCTCGTCTGCTTCGATCTCCAAGTGCATCTCCAGCATCTTCTCGCCATTGAATCTGGCCCTGCAGTACCCTTCATGATGACAGAATGCGATCTCCCGAAGCTTCGCATCCTTCAACTTCTTCATCGCTGCATCTCGCTCCTCCTTGCTCTCCAGGAAGAGGCTGCGATTCTCCAACCACTTGCTCTGCAAGCGATAGCTGCCTTCAGGCAACTCTGCTGCCCATTTCTGCTTGGCTGCACGCACCAGCTTCTGCTGCACCCAGTCTGGCCTCCAGTGCAGGAAGCCATTCCTCCTCAAGCACTGCAGTGTCCAGGGTCTCTCCAGCGATCTTTGCTCCTGCATCTGCCAGGCTGCATCGAGCATTCGTCCCAAGCTAGAGACACTGCACTTGAAGCTTGGTCTTTCTCCTGCTGCTGCAGCTGACTCCAGCATTCTCTTCTTTTCTTCACTCTGTGCTGTCCTCAAACTGGCCTTCAAACTGGCTGCAAAGTCAGTGTCTGTAGGCTGCACCAAGTCCGTGGTTCCTCCACGGATCTTCACTGCAATCTGGCCTATCACTCTCATGGCCTCCCACTGCATCCCTCACCCAGATGCTGCAGGGGAACTGCTCGCCCATGGACTGCAGCATCCACTGCTGTATCACTGCATCGGTCACGGCTGCAGGCTGGCCGAAGACTTTCCCAATTCTGCAGCAATCCCTGCTCTCGCAGCTTCACCCACGGAGCCAGAACCCCGCCTGCAGAGCGCCCTGCAACTCGCATCACAACCTTGCCTGCAGCTTCAAACTGTTCATCTTCTCTCCACTGTCCATTTGCAATGATGTTGCTGAGTCTGCAATGGCTTGCAGTCTTCACTATCAAAGCAGGCCTCCAATTGTAGGCTTGAGGATCTGCACCTGGCTTGAAGTAATCCTTCAGCACAAGCCGATGCTCCACTGTACATCTCCACTTCTCATCCTCTGCACTTCCAACTCCTCTTCTCAAGGTCGCGTCTCCAAGTGCCGTCTCCTCCTGCAGCTGCTCTTCCTCTTCCTTTGCTTCATCCTCGACTGCTTCTGCTTCTTCAGCATCCTCGAGGTCCTTGGCTTTCTGCAAGAGCTTCGCAGCTTCGTCTAGAGACTTCAGTTTCTCGTCCTGCATCTTTTGGAAGTCTGCGGTCTTCAACCTTGACTTCTTGGCTCTCTCCGAGGCTGCATACACCTGCTTGCCTCTTGTCATCTTCAGCCGGCATGGAATCTGATCGCTCCAGCCAATGATGCAATCTTGTCTGTGCTCCTGGAACTGCACGGGGTTCTCCACAAACTTGGCCAACTGCTCTGCATCTCCGAAGGCTACAAGGTCCAAGGCTGCTTCAAACTCCATCCACGTCTCCATCACCGCCTGCTCCTCCTGCTGCAGGGTCAGCTGCGCCAGGTGCAGCTTCCCACCTACATCCTGCGGCAGCCTGCCCTTGAAAGTCTTTCTGTAGCCTTCATTCTCCTGCAGTCTCCGCAGCCTCTCCTTGCAGTCTGCAAGCCTCTGCTTGGCTGCGGCCTCGTCCAAAGCCTGCACTGAGTCTTCAAGCGACTGCAGTAACTCGAAGCCAGGCAGGTTGCTTTCTTTCTGCACAAGCAACTCCTTCTTCACAGGCGCTTCATCACCTCGAAGCTTTCGCTCCAAAAGGACTGCTTCTTCCTTCAGATCATCTACAAAAGCCTCCATGAGGTCGGTCACATCAACTGCATGCTGCATCATTCGTTCTCGCTCCAGCCAAGCTTTGACTCGCTGCTTGCTCTCTGCAAAGATGTCTGGTCTTCCTGCACCTAGCTTTCTGCAGCCTTTGGAAAGCTTCAAGTTTGCCCTCTTCACGTGCTGGTTCACTCCACGTTTTCTGGTCCCTGCTGTTTTTCCTAACTGCAGCTCTCTCGCCCGATCATGCCACTGCTCTCTGTTCTTCATGATGTCCTTCAGAGTCTTCCAAGGCTTGTCGAACATCTTCACTGCAGTTCGCCTCAACTCTGCAGGGTTTGCAGCACTCTCGCTGAGCTTCACAAGCTCGTCAGCAATCATTGCTTTGGTGCCTGCAGTTTCTTCAACACGTCTGCTTCTCTGGAAGTTGTTCTTCTTCTGTCTCAAGCCTGCAACCAGGCTCTTCTCTTGCTGCAGTAACCTAGGTCTGCCTGGAGTTCCTCGTGATTAAGTGCAAAATCTCTACCTCATGCATAAGAGCAACCGAGCTTTCAATCAAGTATATATATTCAGTCCTATGGCAGGCAGACGGCCTCAGATTTATTAAAGGGATCACATTTGTAGGAAGCCGGCCGGCCCCGGCCCAGCTGTGCCTGCGGTGGTCTTTGCCATTGCTTGCTTGCTGCTTTAATACACAGAACCGGCCCTTTCCTTTCAGCAGAGGCTGCCCTCCGAGGCCCAGCTTTTTCCAAAAGTTGAGGGATCTCAGAAAGCTAGCTTTCCTTATTCATTCGCTTATCCGGGGAAGCAATTTTTCATTCTCTCCTGACCTACCCCTTACGCGGCCTGCCCTTCAGCAGAGGCTGCCCTCCGAGGCCCAGCTTTTTCCAAAAGTTCAGGGATCTCAGAAAGCTAGCTTTCCTTATTCATTCGCTTATCCGGGGAAGCAATTTTTCATTCTCTCCTGACCTACCCCTTACGGGGCCTGCCCGGAGGCACACCGAATCACAATTATAAAAGGATCACATTTGTAGGAAGCCGGCCGGCCCCGGCCCAGCTGTGCCTGCGGTCTTTGCCATTGCTTGCTTGCTTGCTTCTTTAATACACAAGCAAAGCTTCTGTGGGAACCTGCCCTTTCCTTTCAGCAGAGGCTGCCCTCCGAGGCCCAGCTTTTTCCAAAAGTTCAAGGATCTCAGAAAGCTAGCTTTCCTTATTCATTCACTTATCCGGGGAAGCAATTTTTCATTCTCTCCTGACCTACCCCTTACGGGGCCTGCCCGGAGGCACACCGAATCACAATTATAAAAGGGATCACATTTGTAGGAAGCCGGCCGGTCCCGGCCCAGCTGTGCCTGCGGTCTTTGCCATTGCTTGCTTGCTCCTTTGATACACAAGCAAAGCTTCTGTGGGAACCGGCCCTGTCCTTTCAGCAGAGGCTGCCCTCCGAGGCCCAGCTTTTTCCAAAAGTTCAGGGATTTCAGAAAGCTAGCTTTCCTTATTCATTCGCATACCCGGGGAAGCAATTTTTCATTCTCTCCTGACCTACCCCTTACGGGGCCTGCCCGGAGGCACACCGAATCACAATTATAAAAGGGATCACATTTGTAGGAAGCCGGCCGGTCCCGACCCAGCTGTGCCTGCGGTCTTTGCCATTGCTTGCTTGCTTGCTTCTTTAATACACAAGCAAAGCTTCTGTGGGAACCGGCCCTTTCCTTTCAGCAGAGGCTGCCCTCCTTACTCACTCATGTTGATGGAAAGCTCGGTTGCTCTGCACTCTGCTTAGAATCCTGGCCTTCTCAGACAAAACCAGCACACCACTGTCTGCAGGCTTCTCTTCTTCTTGTTCTTCTTCTTCTTCAGCTTCCGACAGCACAAGAACTGCAGCCTCTCCTGCCTGCTCCGAGCTGCCGTCTGCAGCAGCTGCTGCCACGAGCACCTGCAAGCTTTCGTTTGCTTTTGCTCCGAACACTGTAGCACTGCACTCTTCCTTACTGCATGATCCCAGCATACTCTCTGCACAGAAGTGCAGCCATTGGGAGACTGCACAGTTGCTTCAAGTCTCGCTGCAGACCCAGGCTCCACCGTGCACTTCTTGCACCGAGGATTCTGCACACTTGCCTCCATGCTGCAACTGGGAAGATGTGGGTCTGCATCCAGCACCATCACTGCATCGGCTCTTCTTGCCAATCTCTCTGCAGCTTGATCTTGCATCAGCAGCAAGTGGCTTCCCACTCCATTGCTGCATCGCTGGCAACACTCATGACTGCACAATCTGCTGAGGCTACACAGCTGCTGCAGTTCTTCACAATATTTCTGCTGATCCTGCTGCAACCCTTAACCAACCCTGCAACACCACGGGTGAAGCACCTCTGCAGAGGCTGCAACTTCATCTGGAGCTTCGTCCTGCATCGCAACTTAATTAATTATGTACCTACTTCACTACTTAACTAAGTTACTAACTAACTAACTAACTAACTAACTAACTAACTAACTAACTACTTAAGGTTTCAGGGTTTAAGGTTTGGGCTTCAAAGGGTTTAATTAACTAGGCCTAATTCATTTTTTTGTTTCAGGGTTTAGGGCTGTGGGTTTCAAGGGTTTCGGGCTAAGGTTTAAGGCTTAAGGTTTTCCATTCTGTGTTTTAGGGTTTATGGTTTGTGGGAAAAGGTTTCGGCCTAATTAAGGTTTAAGGTTTCTGTGTTGTGTTTGGAGGTTTAATTAATCAGGGTCAAAGTTTTAAAGTGGTTAGGGCTAATTAAAGTTTAAGCTTGTGGATTTTGCGGTTCAGGCTTTAGGGGTTTGTGTTTTAAAAGGTTTCGGGCTGAGGTTTAATTACTTAACTAACTAGGATTAATTAGCTTCTGTTGCAGCACTTTTAGGGTTTGGGTTGTTTTTGGGCCCAAACCCTAAAAGCGCCGAAACCTTAGCCCTAAATCCTAAACCCTGAAACCTTAACTAAACCCGTGCCCCCCAAACCCGAACCCTTAAGCCCCTAATGAAACCGTGTACCCCCTAAACCCTTAAACCCTGAACCCTAAGCCCTTCCCCAAAAGCGCCAAAACCTTAGCACTAAACCCTAAACCCTGAAACCTTAACTAAACCCGTGCCCCCCAAACCCGAACCCCTTAAGCCCCTAAACCTTCAAACCGTTCACCCCCTAAACCCTTAAACCCTGAAACCTAATGAATTTATTAATTAAACCTTGAAACCTTTTACCCCCTAGACCCTGAAACCCCGAACCCTAAACCCTGCAACCTACCCCTGCATGGCCTCCATCTCTGCACAAAGTGCAGTTGACACTGCAGGCACCTGCAGAAACAAGCAAGCTGCAGGGAGTTGCTCCATGCATTCGGGTTCTGCACAAACTGCACTTCTGCATGCACTCAAGGTCTGCAGCAACTGCAAGGCTTCATTTTTCAAAAACTCCTGCATGGCTCCGGTGCTGCATGCATTCAAAAACTCCATCTACAGGCCCTCTGCATCTTCACATCTACAGGATCCATCTGCAGGCCCTCTGCATCTTCACATCTACAGGATCGCCCTGCGCTTCTGGATGGCTGCAAGCTGTCCAGCTTCTCCAGTGCCTGTACTCTGCATGAGGCTCTGGATCTCTGCAAGCCTGTCCTGCACATGGATCTTCATCGGATTATGCTGAAATTCTGCAGGGCTTGATTCTGCATCAAGCCCTGCCACTCTGCAGCCATCGTCGTCGGCCAGCACCCTGCGCACAGCTGCAGTGAACCTTGCTGCAAGGCTGCAATGTTCGCAGCTCCATTCCTTGCTGCATCATCTGCAGGGTTCTGCAGCAGATCCCGAATGATCTGCAACTTTGCTTCAAACACCTGCATTCTCCAGTACAGCTGGCGATCTGCACCAAGCAGCTGTGCTCCTCTGCAGCACGACTCCATGGCACTTTGCAGCCTCCTCTGCAGCCACAAGGCTACATGCGCACGGTCATACTGCATGACTGCCTGCACCACATGCCTGGCTACATCGCTGCGATGGCCTGCAGACTTGTCCTGCCTTCTCTCCGCTGCATGAACTGCATCACTGTACTGGTAGACTGCATCTTCCACACTCTGCACAGCTGCCACAATTCTGTCTGCAGCCACCACTGCAATAGAGGCAACTGCAAACACTGCTGCAGACAACATGATTTCTGCAAGCTTCAAGGGGCTGCTACTCTGCAAAAGGCCTGCACAAACTCCGGACAAACACATCTCTGCACACACCTCTGCAAGCACTGCAAACTACTCTGCACACACCTCTGCAAGCACTGCGAACTACTTTCCTAGGCTGCACAGAACCGCACCACTGCAAAGTCTCAACCTGCACCCTGGCGCCTCTGCTGCTCCTTCTGCACCCTCATCTGGAACTCTTTCGCGAACTTCAACCTGCATCGCTTGCTGCTGCAAAACCACCTAATTACACTGCTCTGCAACCAAGTACGAACTGCAAACTTCCTGCACTAAACACTTCTGCTGCAAACACACCTCTGCATAATTATGCACTCCTACCTGCAAACGACCGGCCTACAGCTCTGCAAACAGACATGCGAAACTGCACTGCTGCCAACCTGCACAGTCTCACAGACTAAGGGTCTCTGCACCTCTCCGACTCGACCTGCAAGTGGAACTTCTCCATGGGTAGGCACCTGCAGGGCATGCGACTGCACTCTGAAATCACAAGCTGCACTGCTAACCTAATTATGCGAAGCCTAAAAGGCCGGGTTCCTACCTACGGCTGCCTACTGGGCTCAAGGCAGGCACGCCTCTTTTTCGGAACCTCAAAAGGCTGCGGTGCGCAGTGGTTAGCGTAACTGTACATGTGCAAAAACACAAGGGGTAGCCTAGCTCAAGCCCTTGGGTGTTGGGTCTAGGGTAAACTACAGGATTTCTCGCACCCCCCTCCAATGCCGAGGGCTTGGGCGGAGGCGGAGAGACCCGCTCGGGCGGTCCCTTCCCGCACTGCTTAGCCTCCACGTGTAAAATGGTGGCTTCTGCAGTGGTTGCAGACTGGTAGCTGCCGGGCCCACCCGCGTATCTCCGTACACTGTGGAAGCACGTGCGGTGTGTAGTCTTCCCCGACCACAAAGAAGTGGGTGAGATCCTCCCACCGGTGGCCTATGATCATTCCACCCCAGCAGGTGAAACAAAGATTTTCGGTGATGACCCGACACAGTTCCTGTAAAGGTGAACTGTGCGCCTCGTGGGAGCGTAGTAAAGCTCTCCGAACTGGTGCTGCGGCACCGGCGGCAGGCGCGCTCCAGGTTGGAGTCGGCGGCGCCTTGCCCGTACTTGGGGTGCCGCTGGCGGCGGCGGGGCTGCCGCCTCGGCGGCTGCACCCGCATCCCCATCGTGAGGCTCTGGTTCAGGAGCCGGGGGTCGCAGGTCTCTCGGCGGAGCCGCCCGCGCCGGAGCGCGGAAGAGGTCCTCGACCGCTACCGGTGGCGTTGCCACCTCCTCCGGGACTTCGTCTCCCCCGGGTTCTTCAGGTAGCTCTTCCTCGGGCTCGCTCGTGGGCTCCGAGTGTTCCTCTTCTGGCTGTCGGCCCGTCGGTTGCCTTAGCCGTTGCAGCGTTCTGCCCGGTCACCGTCTTCACCACAAACCACAGGACAACCAACCAGGTAAGGATACCCAGCAGCATGGTTGCTTGCAGGGTCCATTGGATGATTTCCTCCTCGCGTGGCTGTGCCCTCACTCCGAGGATTTGGTTCGCCAAAATGGCGCTGACGATGCTTACCGTCGGCTTGAAAGGGAGAACCGGCTTCCACTGACTGGGCGGGTTTTCCCGCACAAGCTTCACCGAATGCCGCTCCGCGGCGGATGCTCCCGCAACCAAGGTGGGGTCCACCATGGCAAGGGATGGCAAAGCCTGTGCAACCTCGTTGCCTGTCTTGGCGTGCTTCGTAAGGAAGTTCGCCGGGTTCTCTGTGCCTTTCACTTTCCTCAGCAAGGTCTTTCCGGCCTGGACGGCCCCTTGAACGTAGAATTCGGACACATCAAGGTGTCTCAGTTTCGTTCCTGGGCCAATCCTTTTGGCTGCCGTGATCCCGGTGCTGCTGTCGCCCCAGATTCTCGGGATTTCTACCTCGAGCCCAAAGTCTAGCGTCGCTAGCTCGTGGACGAAGAGGGCTTCCCGGCAGGCGCGGCTAATGCCGCGGAGCTCTGCGTCTGGGCTGCTGGTCGCTGGCAGTCCCGGCTGGGTCTGGGTCGCCGTGGTAACGACCGCGCCCCCGAGCACAACCACATGGCAGTCCGTAGACCGCCGGGTTTCCACACAGCCTGCCCAGTCGCTGTCGCAGAAGACGTCGAGCTGGAGCGTCCCGTCGTGCGCTCCGGGGTCAAGGGCTGTTACCCTCACCAAGGAGGGGTGTTGCTGCAGGTACCTTCCAAGCAACTGGGCTTGGTTCATGTCACAGCGCCTCGGCGCAGACATGTGGCGAGCGAGTTCCTTAACAGCGTATTGGATATCTCGCCTGTCGGCTGAGAGGTAAATCCCCGGGCCGACTGCCGAACGGTACCTGGCGGCATCTCCCGCCTCGAGGGGAGTGGTGTCGCTCAGGTCGGGCTTCCTGGAGGGAACCGGTGATTTCTCACCTGGCTTCAGGCCCAAAGCCTTGATGATGTTCTCCGCGTGCTTCGGATCCGGAGCTGTGAGGATGCACCCTGGTAGCCGGGTCTTGGTCTTGCCTAGAACCTCGACTGAGACACCTTCGGCCTCAAGGGGTCCGGTGGTGATCTCGCAGTGGGCGCAGAGATCCTCATCTAGCAACCTATCTAGGGCGGCGGCGTCGCCCGCACACCTCCCATCATCGACATGGTGTACTATGACTATGCCTGTCTTTAGGCATCTGTAGACGCACAGGTCCTTGACCCCGCGCCTAAAGTCGTAGCGTCCGGTCTCTTTGAGCTTCACGCAGAGAAGCTCTTCGAGCTCATCTCTGTAAACCGAGCCTGCGGTCCTCCTGCCATATAGGTTGCCATCGAGTCGGAAGAGCATCTGGTCGAAACTCTCCCAGAGTTCGGGCTGTTGTGCAGGCGGTTGCGCCCGCACCCACTCTTCCCAGATGGGCCTCCACTCTGGCGGGGGTCGCACGTAGACCCACTTCTCCTGTTGTGCCCCACGGTCCTGCCCAATGAGAAACGCAGCGACAATGTCGAAGGAGCGCGTGGCGCAACCTTTCTGCAATGCCGTGATCTCGAGCAAGGCGTGGGCCTCAGGAGTCGGAGTCGGAACGAAGACCCTCAGGTCTTGCTCCTGTTCCTGTGTGTAGGCTCGCTTATAATGTCAGCACAGGTGAATCGTGACTTCACCGTGCCCTCCTTCACTTTGTCGACCCACTTGTAGTGGAACACCTGCGCTTCAGCAGGCTTCTGCCACTTGTGTACCGGCGTGAAAGCGCCCAGGCGCCACAGCTTCTGGAGCTGAGCAAGCCGAGCTTCCTGCACCGCGGCAGGGTCCGGGCAGGAATCAAGAAGTTCCATCACGGATGCAAGGCGCTGCTGGTACACAGCGGGGTCGCCCGCGTTGGCCCAATGTTCGATCCTCTCCCAGAGATTCTGGGCTTCCGCCTGCAGGCGGTCGATCCTTTGGGCTTTTCGCGTGGCTCTTGGACTGCTTGGGAGGCCTGGCACTTTCTGTGCTTCCTGTGCCTTCCCTCGATCTTGCTTCCTTGCCCCAGCCCCCCTTCACCCAGGCCTGTGGGGTAAGGTGCTGCTCTCGCAGCTGAGGGACTGGCCGCCGCGCTGGCGGCGGAACCCGCACCAACGGATGTCGAGGCTCCAGCGGGTACACCCGCACTCGCTGTTGCGATGTCCGGGGCTGCCTCCGCTGGTTCCGCGTGTCCCGGGGCGGTGTCTCCGATTCCCCCAGCTTGGGGGAAAACCTCGGTGTCTTCCATCACGTCCAGGTCCTCCAAGATCGCTGCCGCTTCCACGTCCAAGGCCTCAGTGTCAACACGCTGGGGCTCCCCTTCGTGCGCCATGGTTGGCAGCTGTGGCTCGCCCTCTTGCTCTCTGTAGTCGTCCGGTGCCTCGTTGGCTGCCGCTTCCAGAGAGGGGGCTGGTAAAACCACAGGTTGTGCCACCATGGGCGGGGGCTCCCGCAGCACCCGGCCTTGGCGAAGGGCCCAGGGCACACCAGCAACGGTGCCCATCAGGGTCCTGTTGGCTTGGCCTTCTGGGGGAAGGCGCCTCACCGATCGAATGGAGAGGGCGCCGCTCTCGGTCAGGACAATGTGCGTGTTGTCTCTGTCCAGCTTGCCCACCCAGATGCCCTTAACCCAACGTCGTTGCGACTTGGTTCCTGGCTTCGGAAGTTTGGCCATCACGGTTTCACCGAAGCGGCAAATCGTCGAGAGGTACTCGACCCCGTTTACGATCTTGTAAGCCGTCATCTTGTCCGTGGTTCGAACCTGAAACCGCGCCGCGGACCACGCCGCGTACTTGACCAACCAAGGAAACACCGTGCGGTTGACATCCACCATGCAGTTGGGGTACCGGTTCTGCAGGTCCATGAGCCAGGTGCGCACCAGCCCCGCTAGGTAGCTGTGCTCCCCTTCCACCGCGCCTTACTTTGGTTTTGGTGGGAGCAGGGCGGTGCTTCCCGCACCTTGACCTTCTGTGGACCCAACCGGGTCCTGATAGCGTGGGCCACGCTTCTCAGGGACCCCTCGGCGTCAATCTGCAGGGTTACCCGCGAGTGACCCAGGGTGTTCAGGTACTGCTCCACGGTGTCCAGGACGAACTTCCCGCACTCGGCCCCTTTCTTTGGCACCTGCACGCTGCAGGGCCACCCCGTGTCTTTGTCGACCAGGGTGAGCACCGTCACCAGGGTGGACTCATCCTCGGGTGCCTGCTTCTGCTGGGCCCCCCTCGAGTAGAACGTGTAGTCCATCTGGACCACCGCCTCGAGTCCCCTTTCTCCGGTGTCGGTCTTCCTGCGGTGCTGCCCGCCACGGCCGGCGCCCTGCACGCACTCCGGGCACCACGGTGCAAAAGGCACATGGGTCAGCTTGTGCCGCTCCCGCTCTTCTTACGTCGGGTCCAGCGGCATGCTTTCCGTGCGGGCCTCCGGTTCCGGAGGCGGGTCGCCTTCCTAGATGTTGCCACCGGGGTCGGCTTGGAGCGCTTGGCGTTCCTCCTCGGCGGCACGCTCCGCACGGGCGAAGTCGGCCACCGCCTGTGCCTCCGGATCGTCCGGGTAGTCTTCTTCGTCCCCTACGGCGGCTATCCTAGCCTTCTTGCGGTTTCGCCCGCCGTAGGTGTATGGGCTCTGCAGCCGTCTTCCCATTCGATGTAAGAGCCGGCGGCGTCGAACACCACACGGGCCCCGGCATCCACGGCACGGCTCACTGACAAAATGTCATCTGTGATACCGCCCACCACCTGAAAAGTGGTCCTCGCCTCCTGGCGGTGGGTCCCGCCCAGTCGCAGGACTGGTTCCACCGTGCCTCTGGTATCCAGGGGCGTGTCGTCCACACTGAACATGTTTTGCCGGCCCGCGGGGTTGACCGGGCACTGGAAGGTCTCCGGGCGACAGACCGATACCGTCGCACCGGTGTCCACGAGGAGGTACCCTCGGCGCTCCTCCGTCACGGCAAGGATCCGCATCTTGTCGTCCGAGATGTGTCGCACCCCCGGCTTTGCCGTGGTGGCGGTGCTCCCCGCGACAGACGCGGAGGGTCCCGCAGAAAGTTGTGAGGCAGTGTCGTCCGCGACAGCGTGCACCCCACCTTTCTGGTTACCCTTTCCTTTGCCCTTGGAGTTGTACCAGCACTCCTTCACGGTGTGGCCAGTGCACCAGCAGATCGGGCACTTCTCCTTCTCTTTCTCTTTGTGGGCGTCTTTGCCCTTTCCTTCTTTGCCCTTTCCGCCTTTTCCTTTTCCTTCTTTGCCCTTTCCTTCTTTGCCTTTGCCGCCCTTGCCTTTGTCTTTCCCTTTGTCACCCACTTTCCCTATCTCCATCTGGTCGGGATCGTGGTGTCTCTGGCGGGTCGGCTGGGCGTATGCCCCGCTTGGGGTCCATACCCTCTTGGCTTGAAGGTAACTCACCACGAGGTTGCGTACATTTTTGTATTTGGTCAAGCGCCCGGCCGTCATCGCCAGGTGCTGCTTTAGGGCTCCCGGCGACTCCACCATCAAGAGAGCGCGCTTGTCCTCCTCAGAGATGGCCTTGTCGGACCCAAACTCTGCCTCGTACTTGGCGAGGTCGCTCTCCCATTCCTGGAGAGCCGCCGAGAAGTCGGCCTCCTTGTTGGGAAACTTGGGGCTCAGAAGCGCTCGGCGCCAGATCAAGCCCCGATTCGCTTGCTCAGGATGAAATTCCCTCCAAAGCTGCTTCCACAGCAGGAACCCATCCTGGCGGCGGATCCCGCGCGCGATCTTGAACGCCGGTGGGCACTCGCTGACCAAACTGACCAGCATCCCGAAAAGCTTTACACTAAGTGCCCGGTACTCTTCGGATTCGGTCGTCAGGGTGGCGTCGTCTTCGTCGTCGCCTGACCCTTTCCGGGCCTCCTCCAGGTGCTGGGGAAACGTGGGGTCGATCATGGCGGCACACACAAACCTCTCCCACTCGTCTTGGCTCTTAAGGGGCTTAGGGGGCTTTAGCAAGTCTACCCCTTTCAGCTGCGCTGTGAGACCTAACTGTACAGGTGAGACGGGCAAGCTACCTCCTACCGCTGGCAGCGCCGCGCTGCTGGCGGGTCCTCCCGCGGGAGCGGTGCTTCCCGCTTGCTGCTGCATCAGCAGCAGCTGCTGCTCCAGCCTCTGGGTCCTCTCTTGGGAGGCGCCCAGGGCTGCCTGGAGCTCGCGGGGGCTACTTTCCGCCCTCTGAAGGGCGGCGGTGAGTTGCGTCAGTTGACGCGTCACCTCGGCTTCCGTGAGTCCCGTGGCTGGACTCTGTTGTGCTGCCATCGTCCCCGCTTTCCTCCCCTGGCTGGTGGAGGCTCTCGATAGAGGGAAGTCCTCGCTCTTCGGCGGGACTGCCCGCGCTAAGCCTCCAGCCTAGCGCTTCCGGGTTTTAAGGTCCCGCGGTGACCTCTGGATTACCCCCTCTTGGGCGGGGCGACCCGCAGCCGGCCACGAGAACCTCAGAAGAGGAACTCGCGGGGCTGCCCGCTGTCCGGAGTTGCTGGCCCTGTGCTCAGCAGAGCTCCGCTACCATGCGAAGCCTAAAAGGCCGGGTTCCTACCTACGGCTGCCTACTGGGCTCAAGGCAGGCACGCCTCTTTTTCGGAACCTCAAAAGGCTGCGGTGCGCAGTGGTTAGCGTAACTGTACATGTGCAAAAACACAAGGGGTAGCCTAGCTCAAGCCCTTGGGTGTTGGGTTTAGGGTAAACTACAGGATTTCTCGCAAATTAGCTGCAAAACTCCACAACTTCTCGGGCACTGCATCTGCCACTGCAATTGTTCAAAAACTCCTGCATGCGACCAGTCTGCATGGTATCAAAAAATCTACATTTCGCTGCACTCTGCAGCTCTTCAAATCATGCTCTGCACCTTTTGCACAGCTGCACGAAGCTGCGGACTGCTGCCTGCACTGAAGCCTGCACTGCAGAGTGTCTGGACCTCCTGCACCCGGTCCTCGATCTGCCTTAACATCGGCTTCAAGCCGAAGGCCTGCATGCCCTCACTCGCTGCAAGCTGCCGCCACTCTGCAATCGTGGTCTGCGGGCATGCTGCATGGTGCATCTGGATCTGGCCTGCAATCACTGCTGCAAAAATGCTGCAGCCATTCTTCAGGCTTTCGTCTTCAACCTGCACCAGCCAATCTCTGCACAAGCAGAGCTTGGCCTCCAGCACACTGCATCTCCACCAGAGCTGCTGGTCTGCAACACCCTGCAGAACCGCTGCACGGATGGAACTCTCCATCGCTGCCTGCAGCTGTCTCTGCAGGAAGAGCCCTGCAGGGCTGTTGCCTCCAGTCTGCCTGCACTGCTGGAAGGCCTGCATGATCTTCCTCGAAACATCATTCTGCAAGCCTGCAGCACGATCCTGCCTGTACTCTCCAGCCTTCACCTTGTCTGCATAGAACCACACCGCAGCTTCAACATCTGAAAGTTTCTTCACCACTCTGCAAGCTGCGGTTGCAGAGGCTGCAAAGGCTGCAGACATGGCAAGTAGTGCTGCACTCAGCATCTTCAGGAAAGCTGCAAAAGACTGTCAGGGCTGCTATCCTGCACAGGGCCTGCAAGCTCCGGACAAACACATCTCTGCACACACCTCTGCAAGCACTGCAAACTACTTTCCTGAACTGCACAGAAACACAACACTGCAAGGTCTCAACCTGCACCCTGGCACCTCTGCTGCTTCTGCATCTGGAACTCCTTCAGGAGCTTCAGCCTGCATCGTTTGCTGCTACAAAACCACCTAAGTACACTGCTCTGCAACTGCACTCGAAACTGCAACTACACCTCTGCAACTGCACTGCTACCAGCAAACAAACTCCCTACCAACCTGCACTACGGCTTCTGCAAACTGCATTGCTTGGCCCCAACCCAGCCTGCACCTCTGCACCAGCAGTCTTCCTTCTCACTCTACGAGCCACCTGCACAGGTCCTGCATTTGCTGCCTCGTGAGGCCTCTTCATGCTGTAAGCCTTCAATGGCTGCAGCGATTGCATCTCTGCAATTGCATTCTGGCTGGAAACGACACCGTCTGCACTTGCACTGTCTGCACCCGAATGAAGGTTTTCTCCATGCATCCAGCCTTTTTGAATGGCTTTCCAATAGAGATTCAATACATTGCTATGGTTTTTAATAGAGCCCAAAAAGCCCCAGTGCAGGTTTTCTTCATGCATCCAGGCTTTTTGAATGGCTTTCTAATAGAGATTCAATACATTGCTATGGTGTTTAATAGAGCCCAAAGAGCCCCAGTGGAGGTTTTCTCCACGCATCCAGCCTTTTTGAATGGCTTTCTCATAGAGATTCAATACATTGCTGTGGTTTTTAATAGAGCCCAAAGAGCCCCAGTGGAGGTTTTCTCCATGCATCCAGCCTTTTTGAATGGCTTTCTAATAGAGATTCAATACATTGCTATGGTTTTTAATAGAGCCCAAAGAGCCCCAGCAACCCAGGCATGATTTTCCATTAATGCGGGTCCCGCAAATTTAATTCTGGTGGGGGGGCTGCGGGGGGGGGGGGGCCCTACTATTTAGATGCTCGGATTTGCGTGTCGGGGTCGAACTCGTCCCGGCTGATCACCTCCAAAAAAACGGCTCGGCCCGAAACTTGGCGGATTCGAGCTCCGCTAGCTTTTCTTTTCGATAGGGGTGCGCTTGTCTTCCAGATCCCCAAACTTAGCGGTGAATGCTTGGCGCATCGCCATATAATCTGTGGCGGGGATGGGCTTCGCCCAGTCCCGAACCTCACTGGTAGCCTCCGCTTCCGCTTGCCGCTCTGTGCGGGAGTTAGCGGTCCTCCATGCGATGGTGAGCACCGGCCCTGGAAAAACTGGGTATAGCAGCTGGGGAGCAGCATAGCGAGGAGCTCGTCGGCTCTGGCTCTCATCTTAGCGGCCGGCTCGGTGTGGCTGTAGCGGCACATGAGCAGCGCGTCTTCCCTGGTTAGCTGGTATAGCCGCTCATCCCTGTGAATGGCTTCCTTGGTTAGCGTCCCATCCAGCGTGTGGCTCGCAGTTAGGCGTGACACAGACATTCCCTTTGGCTGACACCTTTACGTGGTAGGCGCTATTACGGAGTAGGGACACTCTAACCAAGTCGGCCTTTGCTTTGATTGCTTCCCTGCATATCCCATCTATTCTTGTACCTGTTAGGGTCCCTTCCTAACATCCGGTATTATGAAGGTTTTCTTGTTGCTTATTCTCGTTTATTGTTGTCTCGGACCCCTGGGATTCGTTCAGATGGTTCATCCCGCAATGTACGTGCCTTCTTCCGCTTGCTGCTTTAACGTTTTCCTTCGGAGGGAAAACTCAGCGTCTTTGATTCGCATCGACGCAGGCATTACAATCGGGCAGATTCTACAGGACTTTTGTCAAGCTGGTGATCGGGTTACTTCGTTCGCCAAGCTGCTTAAGTCTTCGGATAGGCTAGTTGATACATTTCCGGGGCCAGACTGCCACCTTTGTGTCACCGGACATTTACGAGGAGGTGCCCAGCGAGCTAGGTGGGAGAGTACCCCAGAACAACCAGGGTTGAGACTTGCTTATCCAAGCGAAATCTGCCAGCCCATCACTACGAGGACAATCCCTGAAGACACATGGCCGATACAACAAATTCATCAGTCCAGTGCTGGTATCACATTCGCCACCTTTGCGAGCTTCGAATTTCGCACATTAGAACCGATTCAGCGTGCATGGTTGTTCTTCGTGGGTGTGTGAAACTGAAAGTGCTGAGGCTAGGAGTCGATGAAGCTAGGGTTTTGACGACAACCATTACCGTGCGAGATGTCATTCAAGATACAGAAGAATTGCGAGCAGTCACTCTGGTTAATCTGGCCAGGGATTCAGACGACTTCTTCACCCTACCTGATGTTGTGGCTGCGGTTGAGGTTGCTCATATCGAACGGGTGGCGATGTTTGCTGAAATCCGGTCTACTGATGCTTCTAGTGCAGATTGGGCCGCATTCGGTACGCCAGAGGCCTTCCACAACTATGTCACACAAACCTTGGAAAATCATTCTACGGTTGGGAACTGCGTATTGTACAAGATTTTTTCATCGTGAAGGTTACTTGTGCAGAAGAATCCAAGTTCCTATTGAACATCGCGATGCGGTTTACCAACGTTCAGGTTTGAAATCAGTTCAATTCCGAGCTTTTTTCAAACCAGACGATGCTCCAGAATCTGGCCTTGAAGTGTTGCGTATCCCCGATAGTGAATCCCTCGCCGAAGCTACCGTGCGCTTATCTCAGATTCCCGGGAGTTTGGGATGTTTCAAATCGCAAAGCTCGTTATACCTTCGCGTGACGGATGCTCACATTCAAATAGCTCGAGAGACAGTATTTCCAGGTGATGACCGCTTTTCCGCCTTCAACATAGCCGCAAAGTGTGTGATTCCGTACAAAGTTCTTGGTTTTCCTGCTGGTACATCCATGAAAGACGTCGTCGAAACATTGGAGACCTTGGGCTTTGTTGCAGTCCCCTCAAGAATCGTCAACCTTAGAGAACTCGCAGTGGTATTCTTGGCAGCGCCTCAACCACCATCAGCAAATCGCTTCCAGACTTCCGCCGGTGTGATTCAGATCATGGAGGTAAAGCGTAAAACCTTCAACCGCAAGGAGAACAGCATGATTGCTCCCATTCCGCCTTCGTCTTCGAGAGCCCCAAACAATCACAAAGGCTACGTGAAAGGCAGTGGTAAAGGAGGACGTGATGGTCTATCTGGTCCATTGTTGTCACAACGTGCTTTGATGTTCCCGAAGCCCGCTGTCCCCCTTTTGCCCAACCCGTTCGCCGACCGGGTTGATGCACTTGAGACACAGGTGGCAACCCTCAAGCAAGACATCGAAGCCGTTAAAAAAAGGACGGTGCCGACACCAAGCAGCAGCTCGCGGAGATTTCATCCAACCAAAACCGCGGCTTCCAGGACCTCCTCACCGCTATCTCTGAGATTCGTGCTAACATGTCTTCTGCTGCTAACGGTTCGCAGCAGAACCATTCGCCACCCTCAAAGCAGTCTCCGCCGAATAAGCACCCCAGACTCTGAACAACATCGTCCACGGTCTGGTAGGGCCATGGATGACGCCGCACTTGTGGTGGTTATCCATTGTTCTATGCCTATGGGATCAACGCGCAATGTCCGCAGTTCGTATCTTGAGCTTGCTAATAGCGCATTGCAGCCTTGCATGCCTTGTCGCCGTCACCTTAATATATGTATGTCCTATACTTTTTGTTGTTTGGGCGATTACTACGCATCTTCAGCTCACGTTTTCTCCTAAGGTGCAACGTGTGTTCTGG